TATTGTCTCTAGCTGGACTAGCTTTACAGGTAATTATATTGACTCTAGCTGGACTAGCTTTACAGGTAATTATATTGACTCTAGTTGGACTGGCTTTACAGGTAATTATATTGGCTCTAGTTGGACTGGCTTTACAGGTAATTATATTGACTCTAGTTGGACTGGCTTTACAGGTAATTATATTGACTCTAGTTGGACTGGCTTTACAGGTAATTATATTGACTCTAGCTGGACTAGCTTTACAGGTAATTATATTGACTCTAGTTGGACTGGCTTTACAGGTAATTATATTGACTCTAGTTGGACTGGCTTTACAGGTAATTATAACGACTCTAGCTAGACTGGCTTTACAGGTAATTATATTGACTCTAGTTGGACTGGCTTTACAGGTAATTATATTGACTCTAGCTAGACTGGCTTTACAGGTAATTATATTGTCTCTAGCTGGACTAGCTTTACAGGTAATTATATTGGCTCTAGCTGGACTGGCTTTACAGGTAATTATATTGACCCTAGCTGGACTGGCTTTGCAGGTAATTATATGGACTCTAGCTAGACTGGCTTTACAGGTAATTATATTGGCTCTAGCTGGACTGGCTTTACAGGTAATTATATTGGCTCTAGCTGGACTGGCTTTACAGGTAATTATATTGACTCTAGCTGGACTGGCTTTACAGGTAATTATATTGACTCTAGTTGGACTGGCTTTACAGGTAATTATATTGGCTCTAGCTGGACTGGCTTTACAGGTAATTATATTGACTCTAGCTGGACTAGCTTTACAGGTAATTATATTGACTCTAGTTGGACTGGCTTTACAGGTAATTATATTGACTCTAGTTGGACTGGCTTTACAGGTAATTATATTGACCCTAGCTGGACTGGCTTTACAGGTAATTATATGGACTCTAGCTAGACTGGCTTTACAGGTAATTATATTGGCTCTAGTTGGACTGTAACATCAGCTTAGTCAAGACAATATTCTACAGTTGGCCCTACTGTACAAAAAATAAAGATTCATTTATGTTACTGTTATTATGATATTTGATTAATAGTAAAGACTTCTGTATTGATTGGCTAACGACTGGTTGGCATTACAGTTAATTTGAGTTTTTTCTCCATTTCAGGTAGAATATGGAGACTATGATATAACAAGACTGGGAACAGCTAATACTTATTTTATACCTGAACATTATTTTAGTACCAGGTTAATCAGAAAGGTGGGACTAGATTATCTTCGTCAACACGCCATGGAAATGCATCATAATTTAAAAGGTCATCCTTCATCTCAATCAGAGTTAGAATATATTAAGGTTAGTTAGTTTTGTTATTGATTCATTTCTAACTGTGGAGAATTTATTACTAATTTTGTAATATTCATTGATATCTTCCACAATTGTGTAGCATTACCCCTGATAAACATTGATTTAGATACCAATATAGATAAATAGATCAGTAGTAAGTTTATACACTATATAATCTAATCAGTCTCTCTATTCTGATATATTCTGATATTACAGTGTATACAGAAACTACCAGAATATGGAATTCATTTTTATAAACTACTCAGGGTAAGGTTTAGATTGTATTTTTCAACTTGCCTGTTTAAAAAGAAAAAAGAAAAGTAATAAATAAGTGATCAACATCTTGTACTAGTTAAACCTTGAGGTTACCAAACAACTTCAAGAATTCAACACTCTAGCTAAAAGAACTACAGTCTGTCTGGCTAAAAGGTTTGAATACTGGGTTGAATACTGGGTTGAATACTGGGTTGAATTCTGGGTTTGAATACTGGGTTTGAATACTGGGTTTGAATACTGGGTTTGAATACTGGGTTTGAATACTGGGTTGAATACTGGGTTTGAATACTGGGTTGAATACTGGGTTTGAATACTGGGTTGAATACTGGGTTGAATACTGGGTTGAATTCTGGGTTTGAATACTGGGTTTGAATACTGGGTTTGAATACTGGGTTTGAATACTGGGTTTGAATACTGGGTTTGAATACTGGGTTTGAATACT